AAATGTTTCCCATTAAATACAGGGTGTTTCACGACTTTAGGGCATAACTGCAGGAGGTGATTTCCTAGGTCTTTGTGATCAAAAAAGTTCATATAAACATGTGTCCAATTTTGGACAGTTACAGAGTTATGACCGTTTTGAACTCAGAATAGAAGGTAACGATTACTGACAATAAACGGAACAAAATAATAAACCAGCATAATACATGATACACTTAAAGTATGAATGTAAAGTTAATTTCATTAAATTACCTTTAATTTGAATTGATTGGTGCTTAAAGCTGATTTTCGAAAATGCCACCGCTGGCCGCAACACAGGCTGCCGCTCGGTTGTGAACCGCGCGGGTAGCACGTAGCAGCTTCAGCTGGCTGTTTCTTATGTGGGCAGCGGCGGCCAGAATGCGACCGAGCAAAGCATCTTGCGTTGCCACCTTCATATTGTAAACCGGTTCTTTCTTCCATCCCCACACACACAATAATCCAGTGGGCTTAAGTCTAGAGACCTGGCTGGCAATTCTTCACATACTTGTACGTCAACTGCGGTGTACCATACGAACAATGCCTTCTTCATTGACGCCTTCATTAACACCATGCTCGGCTGCAATACAAACGGCGGGAAGTCTACTGGTATCTCGCAATGCCTGGTAAACTCCAGTAAACACTCTCCAGTTCAGTATTCTACTATTTGGAAACCATTGCCGATATTCAGCTACGGCAAGAACTGAGTTACCGTCACAAAACCCGTACACATAAGTCATATCTGCATACTCCTCAAATGAAAATGTAAATGGCATTGTGAATGTAACAGACGCATCGAGATGAGAACTGTTCTGAACACCAGTAGCAGCCACACTAGTCATGGCCGGACATACACAGATGGAAGCAGTTCATTGAGACATAAAATATCACTGAAATTTCAAATTTCAAAGAAGTTTTTATTCTCCAAATATCATTTTTGTAAAGGTAAAGGCAAAGTTGTCTCTGTGCTCAATTAAGTGTCATCATAAGGACTAGGCAGAAGTGGAGGTATAGCTCTATCATTCTTAACTTTAGCACTAGATGGAAGTAAATGTTCACCATCACATTCCTGCCACTTTACACCTGGAAAAACAGCCCTCAGTATCCACTGTAACGGAGGCTGAGTTCGACCAGAGTTGATCAGGATGCCATTGAGATAGGAAAAACTCTTGTGCCTGCCAGGAATCAAAACCTGATTCCTCAGTTGTCCAGCCCATAGCCCACTCACTATACAAGCTGAGCTGAGTGAGTATGCTATTGACTATGAACAAATATCTTTACATAAGACCTAAAGGTTTCTGATCATGGTATGGTAATATAATTATTAATTTTCTGAATGCTATCCATTATTATAATTTTATGTAACAGGGTATGCTTTTAACCTGAGATTGAAGGCAGAACCTGGTCTCTCAAACATCAGAGAAAAAAGATAATGCTGATGGATAACATCCAAAAAACAAATCATTCTGTAAATATTCTTATTGCTTTATATCACTGATGCAGTATGTGCTAAATCACTATCTTCTTGGAAATTCCACAAAAGATATACTTGTCATATTCCTTAGGAACAGATAAGCCATAGATATTGTACAAGGTTCTATCTAAACGTTTCTTATCACAGATATTACAAGTTTAAAAGAATTCCAATATGGTGGACAAATCAAGTATTATAGCAAGTGTAACATAACTTCGAACAAGGCTAAGAGTAAGATTTGTTTCATTCTGGTCCGTCACACTAACAATTACAAATATAAATCACTCCGTCCAATGTGACCTGTAAGTTTTTTACTGCATGAAAAACTTAACACCCTTACATGTTTCGGTCTCTGTGGACCATCTTCAGAGGGCAAACATCACTACAAATAGGAAACCACCATCACATAAGTTGTTTAGTCGTAAAGTACGTACACTTATATGCTACAATACATAGTACACAAAATAGAACATTTCACAAACACAGCAGTTTCCTGGGAATGTAAAGTTTTAAAGTTTTAAAACAGTGAAAAACAACACAGCAGCCATGAGCAAACCCTGGACGATATAAAGAACCTCCACATCAAGATAGCAAGGTGGCACAATATCTGCCCCATATAAGAGGGACGATGGGAGGATGAACACGAGCCTGCATGGTTCACGAATTTTAATTACTGACAATCCCAAAAAAAATTTTAATTTAGCATCAAGAAATTTTACACAATTTTATAAAAAAAACTTTACATTCCCAGGAAACTGCTGTGTTTGTGAAATGTTCTATTTTGTGTACTATGTATTGTAGCATATAAGTGTACGTACTTTACGACTAAACAACTTATGTGATGGTGGTTACCTATTTGTAGTGGTGATGTAAAAAACTTACAGGTCACATTGGACGGAGTGATTTATATTTGTAAGGCTAAGAGTAACCTTGAATGCGCAGAAGAAAAATTTCAGACAAGGGGGTGGAGGGTGTGAGAAGTGACAAGTGGCCAGTGGAAGAACGAGTGTTAAGAAACTCCTCCCACCACAAGCTATGCGCGGGATTTGACTAGGAATGCAGGGCCTTGTTCGAAGTGACGTGACACTGTCTATGCAGCTGTGTAAGATTACCATGAAATCCACTTTCTTTGCATTTATATATAGAATATATTTCATGCAAAACTCATATAGACTTAAAGAAAGCCTATGATTCAATTACTGTACAATACTGTCATTGGGTTTGGTATACACATGAAACCAATTAGGCTAATTAAAATATGTTTAAATTAAACTCATAGTAAAGACTGCATAGGTACACATTTTTCTGATATGTATCTAATTCAGAATGGTCCAAAACAAGAAGATGCTTTAGCGCCATTGCTTTTCAACTTTGCTTTATAACTAGCCATTAGAAGTTCCAAGAAAACCAGACGAGACTCAAACTGAATGGGAATCAGCTTCTGGTCTGCGCTGCTAATATATACCTACCGGGGGATAACCCAAATACCACAAATAAATAAAAAACTTACAAAAATTCTAATTGACACTAGTGAGGAAGTTGGTCTAGAAGTAAACACAGAGGAAACTAAGTATATGTTGATGTCTCATCAACACAATGCAGGTCAAACTTACAACATGAACAAATTACAAACATACAGAACTTCTTGCCTTCTTGTCTGCTGTCTAGAAACATAAAGATTAAAATACACAAAAGTATAGTTGTGTGGGGCTGTGACTCTTGGTCTATGATATTAAGAGAAGAACACAGATTGAGGGTGTCTGAGAACAGGGTGCTGAAGTGCTGGACACAAGTGGGATGAAATATTAGGAAGACAGAGAAAACTGCATAACAAGGAGCTTCATTCGTAACTCAGTCCTCGCCAATATAAACAGAATGATCAAGTCAAGGACAACAATTGCACGGCATGTAGCATGCATGACAGTGGACTGCATATAGGATTTGGTAAGATAACATGAAGGAAAAAACCACTTAGAGCACAACAGATCACTGTTGGTCACAGCGCAAGGGCCAAGAAGGCCCACCCCTTATACATTCATTCATTCATTCATTCAATATGGAACTTACAGCAATGAATTGTGTGTGTGTGTGTGGGGGGGGGGTTGATTAGAGTCATCTGGCTCAGGATAGGACCCAGTGGTGAGATCTTGTGTATATAAGAATGGGCCTTCAGATTCCACAAAATGATGGGAACTTCTTGCGTGACTGAACAACTGTAGATTTCTTAAGAGCCTTGGCTCCATGCAGTTACATAATTCTGTTATGGGTTAAATATCACTACATTTTAGAGAAACAGCAGAGGGGATGTGGAATGGATTCATCTGGCTCAGGATAGGGACTAGTTTCAAGATCTTGTGTATATAAGAGTGAGCCTTCAGATTCCACACAAGGATGAGAATTTCTTGAGCGGATGAGCAACTGTTGACTTCAGCTCTATGAAGTTAGCCAGCTAATTTGGTTATGGGCTCAAAGAGCAACATTACTACTACGTTTTAGACAAACTGGACAGGCAGTGTGGACTGATTCATCTGGCTAAGCAAAGTGACCAGTGGTGGGCTCTTGTGAACATGGTAATGAACCTTTAGGTTCTACAGATTGCTGGGAATTTTTCTTCAGTGGCTGAGAAACTACTGGATTCTGAAGGAGGATACACCTCCTTGGCACTACTTAGTTAGTTAGTTAGTTAGTTAGTTAGTTAGTCAGTAAACCACCGTACTGAAAACACACACAGCTGCTTCCCTGGTTTTCTGCTGAACAAGTCTGAAGCTACTGATATTGTACTCTGAAACTAAGTATTTTAAACAGCTGCTATAATTCCAGAAGTAAGAGCTGGTTACTTAGCTTTTAGTCTTCTGAGACATGACACCGTGTAGGCTGGTAGGTGGTTACCAATGATTTGGAGACCATGCCATCTCTCATCTTCAGACTAGAGGAGACAGTACATTCCTCCAAAATGTTGGGCTGCCAGACTACCTTGTCATGGTTCAGAAGACCGCAATTTAAATTGTAAATAATGCTGAACAACAATTTTTTTATTTATACAACTTCTTTGTACAGAATAAAGTGTTAATCCTCAGTGCCACAATAAATCCAACTATAATTTTACAAGAATCACCACATTCATTGCACTGGCAGTAAGTTTCACATACCATATGGTATTGGTTCAGCATACTGCAACCGCAAGACTGATTTCCTTCATCAGAGATAAAGAGTAAAAAAAAAAAAAAAAAAAAAAAAAAAANCAAGACATTTGCTGAAAACATACCAAAATGCATCTTACAAACCATCACACTTGATCAACTCTAAAACAATTGCTACTCCATTAAAATTAGTGTTCCTTCCTTCATTTGAAAGCAAGGTATTTTAAAACGCAATAATCTGCTGCGTTGAACAAATCGGAACAGTCTGTGCCAAGAGAGAGTAACCACAGATTATAATATGCATTCAATCATGGGTCAAAATTCTTTCTATTACCTTGAATAACTAAATGAATATCAGCATTAAGCTGCTACCATTCTTTCATGTTCAGAACATTCCAGCCTGTTCTCAGCACAGAAATCAGTTATCCTTGCTGATATTTTTTTGTGATTTTCCTCAATCTCGCCAGGCAAATGTGACTTTGGCTTTTCATATCCTTTCCAACACATTTGTCACTATATGATCTGACCTACTGACAGTGATATTAAATCAACCATGAACAACTAAAATCCATATTAAGAAACAGGAAATATGTTCACTGTACTGTAAACATTTCCCCAAATTAGGATAAATATACGTATTAAGTAGAGTACAGACACTTCATAGTGTGTATTTAATACATCAATATATTATTCCTATAACATAAGAATATCATGTATTAAATATTCCTAACACCAGTCTAATATCAATTAACCAGGATAGAGAATTATAATGAATGAGTTAAATGCTTGGTCCACCAAGTACCCTACAGCATGAACACTTTAAATCTCACATGACATGCTTGCAAGCAAGCACTCTAGCAGTCTATAAAAGACCTTTAAGCATACAGACTGAGGGCATGGGATGGATAAGAATATAGAAAAATAATAGTCACAGTTTACTCTGTCCTTTTGTAAAATGTCAAGCACCCAGCTTCTTTCTCAAATTCTCAGCAAGCTTATCAATAAAAGCAAATGTCTCCAGGTAATCCGAACGCTGGACGTTTGCCATGCCCTTAATACAAATTGCGAGGTCCTTTGTCATGTCACCGGCTTCAATAGTTTCAATACAGACTGCTTCTAGTTTCTTGGCAAAATCTGCAAGCGCTTTGTTGTCATCCAGTTTTGCTCGATGGGATAGTCCTTGTGTCCACGCAAAGATTGAGGCGATGGGATTCGTAGAAGTTTCTTTCCCTTGTTGGTAGAAGCGGTAGTGACGTGTAACTGTTCCATGAGCTGCTTCTGCTTCTACGGTTTTACCATCAGGACATATCAGCACTGAAGTCATTAGTCCCAGAGAACCGTATCCTTGAGCAACAGAATCGGACTGCACATCTCCATCATAGTTCTTGCATGCCCAAACAAAACCGCCTTCTGACTTCATAGCATATGCCACCATGTCATCTATCAGGCGATGTTCATACCAAATTCCCAATGCTTCAAACTGGGGCTTGTATTTAGTATCATACAATTCCTGGAAAATATCTTTAAATCTTCCATCGTACCTTTTCAAGATCGTGTTCTTCGTACTGAGATACAGTGGGTATTTTCTGTCAAGTGCATATTGGAATGATGAATGAGCAAATGATGTAATTGACTCATCTGTATTGAACATGCCTAGTGCAACACCTGGCCCCTTGTATTCATGAACAGTGTGTACAATTTCTTTAGAATCGCCACTTGTGGGGGTCCACTTAAGCTCAAGCTTACCTGCTCCAGGAACAACAAAATCAGTAGCTTTATACTGATCGGCATGTGCATGCCGTCCAATGATGATGGGTTTGTTCCAGCCTGTCACCAGTCGAGGAATATTCTTGCAGATGATAGCTTCACGAAACACTGTTCCCCCCAAGATGTTACGAATTGTTCCATTAGGAGACTTCCACATTTGCTTCAAGTTGAATTCTTCCACCCGCTTTTCATCTGGTGTGATTGTTGCACATTTAATGCCTACATTATATTTTAATATAGCATTTGCACAGTCTATGGTGACCTGATCATCGGTTTTGTCTCTGTATTCAATTCCAAGATCATACGTGTGAAGTTCAATATCGAGGAATGGTAAAATGAGCTTCTCCTTAATTAAATCCCATATAATTCTTGTCATTTCATCTCCAAGAATGTCTACAACTGGTCCAGCTGTTATCTTACCCATACTGTCAACTGAAATAAATAATACGAAAAGCTCTGAACTCTAGTCTCACACCTTTCACTTCCACGTACCAAACCCACCGCACAAATCCGTTACTCTAACAACGCTGAGACGTGCAATAATTTTGCTAGTCACTCCTGCCTAGACCTTGTTATGTAATCTTGTGACGTCTACACCATCAATCACACAATCACAATTCAGCTTTGGACAATATACCACTTCCACATACTTAAATTTGTATGACTCAAATTGAGGTTAAAATAAACTTTCCAATCAGGTGAAACACTTCAGATGGGATTTCTTAGCCACCAAAGCAAATGTTCATTCGTTCTAGAATTCTAGAATAACGATAATCAATACCGATACTGTTGTGCACAAAACTTGGTTACATAACGATTCGCCATTTGAACTGTCTAATCGGTCACAAACGCGGCTAAAGGCGCCTAGGGATAAACGACACGGATGAAACAGTAGGAGTTACGTTGCAAATTTGTATGTATTAATCCATGATCACACAAAACTCTTTGGCGGAAGCTGTAGATCATTCGGAGCGTGAATTTAATGCTGAAAGGAGGTTAGGATTAAACGAAAAGACTTCTTTAAGTTACAGTTCATAACATGCTGTTTATATCCGTAATCGTTCTTAAGGCAACAAAATATGAGCTGGAAGCACGCATCGGCGACGTCGACGGGAGGGAAAGTTTCTGTCCCCCCGCCAATTTTGGGGGCAAATCAAAATCGAAGGGAAAAATACACCACAAATTAAAAGTATGCCAGTTGAAAGTACTTTTAATCAATCAACAAATGAATTCCACGGTGTTGAATTCTTCTGACGCTCATAGTTGCTGAGCTGTTCAAAAAGTTCCCAGCATTTTTTTTTTTTTTTTGTGAAATCCAGAGGTTCATTATTCGGTTTTTATATAAGGAATTCTGGTCCATCACACTATTTTACATTGACTGTGACCAATTTTATGTACTCACATAAAAACCTCTACATGTTTTGGTCCTAAACAGCATACCACACAAGCCACAACTGATCACTACACACACTATGTAAAGACCAAGGATATTCTGTCAATATCCAGAGGATTAAGATGCAAAGACAACACACATAGCTTATAAGATGAATATTTACATATATATAATTAAAACATTTTTAACATTAACACTGACATGCTGAATAATTAATGCAATTAATTAAACCCATAGAGTAGAATTGAACAGATGACCTTTGTAACTACAAAGTACTTCCTCAAGCATTGAGAACCTTTTGACAATCTCTTAGGGCCAAAATATATGAAGGATTTAATATAATTAAATCACATTGGTCACATTTGGTGTTCACTTAATGCTCATTATCCTGTTCACAAGAGCCCAACACTGATCTCCTCACTGACATAGATGAATTCAGTCCACAGTATTACTTTCTACCAATGTAGTCTTTTTGGGGGGGATTTCCTATCCACAGTTTGTATGCACTTCCATCCCATTAGCTACATGACCTGTATTCATATCTTCCAGCTCTCCTGGTACTGAATAAATGCTAACATATGAAACACATGGAATACATCTTTGTGGATGGTTACTTTTGTATTTTCTCTAATTCAATATTTCCTGGGCTTGTGTCCAACTGGAATAATATAAGCTCATTATCCATTATTATGCACATATTTTGACAGCTATCAGCATGAATACAATCTTGAACAAACCACAATGAAATCCATTTTCATGTCAAAATTATGATCAGCAATTAAAGCAACAAATTTTGCTGCTCCAAATATGTATGGTGAGCTACATAACTGTATTATGGATCCCTTTCTGTAAGCACAAGCAGAGCCAGCAGGAGTAAGGGTATTTGAATAAGAGTCTTTTCTTGCAGCAAAAAAAGCTTAAAGCTATGTGTAGAGTATGTCCCAGAAATGGTAGCAATCAGTATAAACAAAAGAGATCTTCAAAACAGCAATGAAAACCCATTTTTGTCTGTCTTGCTTAGCTATTCAACTTGGTTAACATGCAACCACATAACTTCAACTTGCTCTCCTGTTAGAAATGTAAATTAAAAAGGGATTTTTCCGTTGTTAAATGCATACACTCACAGAGAGGCTTTCTATGTTTATTTTAATGTGAACGGTGAAAATAATTCATTTACCCGTTACTTCACTTTACAAAAATTTGGAGTACAAAGAATTCTGGTAGAGCAAAATGAATTCCTCCTTTTTCATAGACCATGATGGATCGGTTCCCAGTGAGGGTAACAGTAGCCCGTGCATGACACAGACCAACTAACACCATCTAGTGTTGAAATGAAGAATGTATGGACTCCATGCCTTTGTCTACTTACCTGAATGACAAAGAACCTAGACTCACAACTTAACCTTTCCTAGTAATAAAATCCTGTGAATTTAGAAATTATGCCATTAATGTCTACCCCTGCTGATATCAAGGACAATCTATCCTGTTTATATGTTTACTGGAAACAGGGAAGGTTGGGTACAGTAATTTTGAAGGAGAATTTTAAAAAGCCTTCATGAATAACCTCCTCCTTTCCCTTCTCATAAAATGAAACTGGGAAATGTGTGAGCACATCATTTATATGTTAATGCAATTTATAGTTTTTATTAAGCCCAATATATTTTTCTCAATACAAATTACCACAAATATGTTATAGCAAAATAACACTGATATCAACAATAGTAACAATATTAGTAATCTGTGACTAGGTTGTTAAAAAGCATATCTTTCAGACAGAAAAGAGGAAATACATTAGATAGTATTATTTTATGTTCCAGGATTATAGGAGAAAATTACTTACTGGGATTATTAAACCTTGCATAAATTTGTACTTTACAACCACTATACAACTTCAAATACAGTAAGACTCCAGCATATGAAATGATGGAACATATGTCACCCCTCACCTTCCTTCGCTAATTGTTAATATACTAAAAAATGTAATTAGCTCTCAAAATTATCGTAATATTAAGTCTTCAGTCCAAACTATACATTTTTTAAGTAAGTCAAGATCACTTACAATTAACATAACCTATATAAGACTATATGAAAGCCATGAATAACAAAAGAAAGGTTAAGTCCCTTTAGTTTTATACTACTGAATTAAATAAATACACAGTATACTGAGTTTCCAATTATTTTTCTAAAGATATGTCAAATAATTACCTAAAAATGCAATTCTTCATTTTATGGTAATGTCAAATTTTATTTAAAAACTTCTGATGACAGTAGCACACATATATCAATTTAAAAAATGAATTCAGTAAGTTTTGACAATAAATTATATTACAGTAATCACTATACTTACACCAACTTGAGCATGTGCAATAATGAATTCAAGTATGTACCTACGTTAGTAAGTATCAAAGTAAAATAACCCAGACCTTGTCCTAAGCTATTTCCAATCTTTACATCACAAGAACATTACTTTTCAAGATCCATTTTAATATTATTCTCCTATCTATGCCATTACATAATACCAAACAGGGAGAAAACTGATATGATAAAGGCATAAAACTGGACTACTGTTTGAAAACTTGGAGTAGGTTATACAGAATTCTGTACATTTAAAAGTGGTAAGGAGAAAATATTCAGAACAAAATTAACATGTCTGGAAAATCACAGTGGGTTATCATAATATATAAAGATGAAACTGCTGTAATTAGGAGAAAAAAATGTCAACCATCTTATTCCACAAAAATTATAGTAAGCAAGGTTTATTTGGAATCCCTTCTATTATACAAAACTATTATAAATACAGGAACTTCAGTAAGTCAGACTTCAACTTCAATTCATATTGAAGAATATCCTTCTATTTTAAATTAAGTAGCATGAACATTTTACACCTACTTATAATGTGATGCACTTGGGGCAAGCCCCAAATTAATAATTATAGATTTACTGCATGATTTATAATTATTAATTTTGACCCTCCTCCTGGTATATCACCCTGTAGATTATTTGTAGAGAGCCAATGAAAAAACATATTTTTTATCATGAAACCACAAAGTCTTCATACAAAAAAAAAAAAACCACCATGAAAACTGACTGACGGAAATTCAGTAGCTTTGTTTCTTATAAACCTGAAACATCTTGAGTTCTTATCAAAAACTGTTCAACATTACAGCATACATACATTATTCATTTGTATTATAAAGAGTGTTTCGGCCCCTGTGGTTATTGGCCACAAAATGACCACACTGCTTATCAGAACAATCAGTATAATCTAATGAATATACTGTAAAATCATTTATGGATGTGTAAGCCCCAAAAAGCTCTACATGTAATCTGAAAACTGCTATGTTCAAATACTGTAATTTGCATGCATGTCCATAAAAAATAAACAGTCTTAATCAATTCCAACATGAGTGCATCAAGGTTAAATAGTGTCATATATCTTGCAGTATACCTGATGCTATTTAGTAAAAGTAAAGGTATCTCTGTAACAGGCCGTGGAGGCCCATAGGGTTGTGAGATGTTGAGGTTCCCACATTTTCTAGACAATCGGCTCATAGATGGCGGTACGGTTGTGAGCCCTACGCGTCGGCCGCCCTTTACCCCCAAGAACATTCCAAGAATATTCCTGGTACTCATTTCTGTTAGAGGCTGAGTCGACCCCAGGGCCATAGTGCGGCTGGAAGGATTAGGTCAACTGAAAAAAAAATCCAATGACCTCATGGGGACTTGAACCCGTGACCTTCTGGCTTGTATCATAGTGTCCCTGATGCCATTTATTAATGCTTAAAAAGGGTGGTAGAATTTGTTTTATGATATCATTAGATTTTCTAAGAGTTATAACAATAAGAGTATAAGAGCTTCTCACTACAACTATTCAGTGAATCTGTGACTTTTTGGAGCTGACACATATAATCTGTAAGCAAACAAACCAAATGAGATCTTTGGTAAACTGAATTTTATGTAGAAATAAAGAAACATACAAAATTCAAATGCAGCATGTTTTATAGACAACATTTAATTTTACAGTATGTGTACCTTTTTGTCTTCTCGACTGCTGTCCAAAAACATACAAATTAGAATATACAAAACTATAATTTTGCCTGTTGTTCTGTATGGGTGTGAAACATGGTCTCTAACATTAAGGGAGGAACATAAGACTGAGGGTGTTTAAGAGCAGGGTGCTGAGAATATTTGGATCTAAGAGAGATGAAGTGACAGGTGGTTGGAGAAAACTGCATAACGAGGAGCTTCATAACTTGCACTCTCCTCCAAGTATAATTAGAATGACCAAGTCAAGGAGGATGAGGTGGGCAGGGCATGTAGCACGAATGGGGGAGAGAGTAATGCATATAGGATATTGGTCGGAGAGCCAGAAGGAAAGAGACCACTGGGAAGACCAAGATGTAGGTTGGTGGACACTATTAATATGGACCTTAAAGAGATAGGATGGGATAATGTGGATTGGACTGA